AGAAGAGAAGAGAAGAGAAGAGAAGAGACAGAGACAGAGACAGAGACAGAGACAGAGACAGAGAAAAGAATCTTACCACTGAGGATGCTACTGATGGGCTAATATTACTGCTAATAGCAAATTGGCCTTTGGATTTCTCTACACTGCCCATAGCATTGAGGAGCATGTTAGAGCCTTCCCCTGACTTGATGTGATGTTGCCATCTTTTATTTTCTTTCTATTCTTATAGCATTGCTTGTGTTTTTATTTTTGAATACATTCTTTATAAATGATCACTGATTTTAGAATAAAGGAAGACAGAAGGATAACAACAATTCTTCAGCACCAATAAAGATCTATTGATCAGTTTGCCTTAACTTCTTAGTGTAATTCATGATAGTTTAGGCAGCTACTGCCAGTTAGGTGGGATGGTGGACCAATGGGCTGATCTATTTATTTGGTATTGTTCTAGGTTTGCTTGTTAACAATAGGAGAGGCTATACCCATTGTTTTACCTGCAGGGAACCAAAGTTTCCTTGCCTCAAAATCTATCCTTTTCAAATACAGTAGAGAATTTCTGATGGATAGTCTAGATTCAAATTAATGGTCTAATAAGCTATAAGTTAGAGCTGTGCCTTTTATTATGATACCCTGGAAAAATATGTCTACATTATTTTTATAAATAACAGTGAAGGACACAATACAATACCTTTAGTTGTAGTTAATTTATAAAGCAGATTATCTTCTAGTTCTTTCATTTTCCGCTTATTATAAGTTACATCTTCCATGAGTTTAACTCTCTCTGCTTCTAGTTCCTATATTAAATATCACAACACAGATTTGTTAACTTCAGTTTTGCATTAAAAAGTTGGGGATTAAGATTAGTTTGAATCTGGTTTACTGCTTATCTTCTTAGGAAAGTATTTTTGTACATAATTTTTTTAATGGACTTGTAAAAAATACAAAAAACATTTAATTAAATGTCGATTAGTTTACCCTCATGAATTTCCCAAATTTACAAAGAACTTGCATGCAGTTTTTCTATTTGCTATTTAAAGAAATATTTATTTGGAAATTACATTAACAGAATTTTCACTGATGATCCTCACTATTACATAGATTTCTCTGATGCAAGTGTGTTTTAAAAACTTTGAGAAGCATCTCTCATAAACATATGGGATTTTGGTGATCTGTTTGATCAGAGGAAAGTAGACATTAGGTACAGAGAAATCAGCAGCTCTATGTGCCATGGTATAAATGATTTGACAGATCTCACAAACCTATTTCTATAGAAATCCATTACAATCTTCTTCTACATTCCTGCTCTCTTATGAAACTGCAGCTGCTTACAACATATAGTAATCTACCCAAATTTGCAAGTTTCACTTTCTCTGTGTTTAACTCTCTAAAGAGACTGCTGCAATAATCTTCACTGCTTTAAAAACTAAATAATTTATGCATACAACGTTTAAATCCATTTACATTTGAAGCCCCTCTTCTATATTCTAGTCTGTAAAGGGAAACTATTCATTCAGCTACTTTATGTTTTACAGATTGTGCATTGAAGAAGTGGAAAAGGGGTGGATGACTTTTCCTCTGCAAACCACTCCTTAAGCAACTTTTCCAATGGGACTAGCAAATATGACTTTAAAAACCTTCTTAGGGAAATAGCTTTGAATAGGAATGCAAGGGAAAAGAACGTGGAGGGCAAGTGTTAATCTTCCCTTTCTACCTGCTGTTTTTCTCATGCAAATGCTGCTATCTACCATTGCTGCATTGTGCAGTAGCAAAGATCACAACAGGGTTCACATTGTGCGCTTGTTGCTGAACATGTAGTTTTGCCCAGAAGATAGCACAAAAACATACTGCTTATTTTACATATGCATATTTTTTATATTTTTATTATATGAATAGACACACGAGTCCTTCAGAACAAATATTTCTCCAGTTTAGAGTCATGGTCTAAAGACTTCAACTAAGCATAACAGCTAAAATATAATGCAAACAGTAATATTTCTATGTGGCAAATTCAAACACACAAAAAATTAAAATTAAAAACAGTGAACCAAAAATGGATTAAAAGGCTCCAAAACGACATAAAAGAAGTGTTAAATATTACCATATTAAAAGCCTTTGGATTTTTTGAATGTTTTTACTTAATTTTAAAAATATGCTAAAATGAGCATACTAGAGCTAGGGGTTACCTATAGTTTCTTTCTATGCAATAAACATTTTAGAATGCAGTATCATGCATTCATTGGTTTTCTAATATAAGCATTATATTTATAATATAAATAAGCTGAGCAAGACTGTGCTCTTCCATCACTGAGGCAGCTTTGTTTGGGCTAGGAATACTTTTATTCCTTCTGTAGACATCACAAAGAGTTTGAAAACATTTCATTTCTGGGATTAAGTCAGCCCTTTAAGACAGCTCACCAGGCCTAACAAGAAATCTCCTCCTCTTCCAAATCTTCTTATCCTGTCACTGATGGTGAATCTTGCTTGCAATAAGTTCATTTTGAGTAACTGGAAGTTAGGCTTTGCCTTAGTTGTTCTTCACCTTCTCCCAGGAGAGAGTGCTTAAAAATATTCACTTCTGAGAAAGCCTTCAGCAATCCTTATGAAGAAAGGTTGTTCCAAAGCACTCTTGACAGCTTGATGAGATACCTCCCATTGAGCTGACTGAGGTCACTTTGGAGGGAAGATCTTTGGAATTACTTCAACCTAATAATAAAGTTCAATTTTGGGGAGGAAGGGTAAGGAAAATGAAATTCTAACCCTTTGTGTCCAAAACTGTTCCCTTTCCTATCCTACAGCCTTTGCTCATTTATATTTTCTTTGTTCCAAAATTCATTCCTATCCATTCATCCATCATCTTAAATTCACCTTGCCTGCTAATGAATTGCAGACCACAATTTTGGAATCAATATTTAAGCTTAAACAGTGAAATATCATTGTTTCATTATGTATAACAGCTCACTGTTACTGGTTATCTTACCTGTTTCTCTGTGAGAATTACTCTCTTCAATAACTGATTTTCAAGTCCTTTCATTGTAACAGTAAAATCAATTACTGATGTTTTAGCATTAATCTCAGGAGTGAAGGCAGGATTAGGCAATTTGGTAGTAATATAAAGTTTAAATGTACTCATGATATCTACTTCTTTATCTCCGACTTTCACCTAAATAAAAATTCAAATCTTGTTTTATTGCATTGTTGCCAGTACAGTTAATAACTGAAAAGTATTGTTCAAGAAGGTATGCAAAATTCACATAACTCAAGATATTTTGAACTTCACAGTTCTTCATGCAAGTTTTCTTCACTGACTTGAGTACAACAAATAATTTTACTATTGTCTAAACGAATATGATTTTTGTCCTCATCTTGTTTTCCATTAAATTACTGTTCAAAGATGTGAGCTCTCTCCCACTCCTCCCAATGTTTAGAGAGGGAGTACTGCAACATGGGTGAAAGTCAAGGAAACTAATGATGTAAGAATAGTAATATACTTGCTTTAGTACATTTCAGATTTCTTATCATATTCTAGTTCATTCATCCTTCATGGTGTACCTTTCAGTTCTATGGTACAAATTCAACTAGTAATTTATTTCTTAGTAACATTTAAAAAAAATAGAAAGGAATTCATTGTTGTGCTTTTGCCATTGATTTACCTCAGGGGTGACAAGCTTTGGACTCATGGATTATATGCAGCTTCTGAATTCCTTATTTGCAGGTTGTGAACATTCCCCTCTCCTCCCCGTTGCCATAACGATGGTAAATTTGTGAAAATTGGGGGCACAATCCCCACCATTTTCGTTGAGAAATATAAAGTATAAGGCCTGAAGCACAATGATTGCATAAAGAGGCAGCTTGCTGAGAAGTGCAATTTGATACCTGTCAACTATGCTAGGAAAATTGGTAGACGTGTGGAATGGTATTGTGCTGGGAAAAATGGGAGCAGTAGTGGATATGCTAAATCAAAGCTACTATTCTTGCTTTCCATCACAGATCTGCCTGGACCAGAATCAACACCATTTGGACACATAACGGTTGCTTCAGATCTTTAAAGGAGTGGCTTCACTTGGGTGAAGACTTGAATGAAGCATCCCATTAAAACTAGTTTGCAAAGTAACACCCCCAAAGTAGCCACATTGCTATGCTTTGCCTCCTCCAGTACTGGCCGAAGAGATTTCTAAGCATGGAAGGAAACCTCCCGGTTATTGGAAATGCCAGTCTGAGGTGGGATATTGAGTACTTTGTTGAAGCAAATCATGCCTCAGTGAGGCAAACTGCAGAGCAAAGCAATGTATCAGGGAGAATCAAGACTACCTCACAAAGTCCTAGTAATGTGTAAAAACAATCTCTGAAATGCTGCTACCATTATCTAGTAAAATGTTTCTGTCCTTGTAGCAGGTAAGTGGGGAAAAGGCTGAATGAAGCACTGGAAAGGGAGTGGGAGGAAAAATAAAAACCTCTTTTTCCCCAGAGATTCAGAAATATTCTCTTGTCAAGGAGATTTCTGACCTATCTGTTCTATGGAGGTTGAAGAAACTGGTCATATAATGAAGGGGAAGTTCCATTGTTTGATTACAGACTTTATTTAACTGGTTTGTCCAAGAACATTCATCATATATTTAAATAACAAACAGAATATAACAGAAAATGTAGCTAACCTTGAAAGAGGTTCCTGATTTAATGAAGTTCTTTTCTAATATATTATCAAGGGCAGGATCTAATTCTTCACTGATATCCTCTATTAAAAGTGGCCTTCCCAGAGAGAGGGCATCCTCTAGGTGTGTACGAAAATATTTATGATTCAAAGTTGTCACCTGAGGAGTAAAAATAGTTCATTAAAAAAAAGGCAGTGTAGTTGACCAAAGTGCTTATTTCACTTGTTTTTAGAGTACTCTTATAGTCCTTGCAATCCTATGCCTGCTTAATTGGAAGTAAATCTCAGTGAGCTCAGGTTACTTCTGTGGAGATATATATAGGATTGCATAACTCTCTAAATTTCCTTTTATATTTTACTTAATGACAGTCCTTGGAAGCAAGTCACTATTTTTTCCATTCTGAATACCAGGAACTGGGATTTAGAGGTATCCACTTATGACTGAGAAATTTGAACCAGAACCTAAACAACTTTTTAATGTTCCTGTTTCCTAAGGTCAGTGACCTTAGCTCAGTAACTTGTAAAGTCTACTCAGGTACAATCATGGATCATCTAAGGACTTTTCAGATTGACAAAATAGCTGGGAAAGTTTTGTGAAGACAACAAGCCTTTGCCTTGGAAGGGTCTCAGTAGAATTATCTTGCTTTTATTAAATGAATGAGAGATCCTTTCTAGAAGATACCAAGCAAATATAAGAAGGGGATACTCCCTGAAAAATCAAATGGAATCCCTTACCTGCCAAAAAGGAGAGTCTTAATTTAAGAAACAATCACACACAGATGTGAAGGAAGAAGTACCTTCATTTCATCAGATTTCAGTATGACACATTTATTTTATTATTTATTGATTTAGTGCACTGATAATCTTCCTTTTCTGTGGGTGCCCAAGTGGTATACTTGGGGGTGTCTCTTGCAGTGACCTGGCTAAGAGAGGTTTGGCTCCTCCTCATCCCAATGAACTTTGGGCATGATGGTGGGCTGATCTGCTCTGGCCCCTGTAATGCAGGGACTCTCCTCTTGAAATGTAATCATAAACATACAGACACAGCTTACCTTTACTGTAGCTGAGTTTTTGAGGGTGGGGGGAAGGAAACAGGAATTTGAAGGGAAGATTAAAATTTTGCAACCCTTACTTGTAATTCATTGTCCTTTTCTTTCTGTTTAATCCAAGTTTTCCCTTGAGTTTGTGGATCTATCAAAAGTGGATATCTAGTGGCTTTTGTCACAATGATGCCATTTTGAACTGAGAGTTCATCTCCTGGAAGCCCTTGCAGGTTCCACTCACTAATCTAGACATGTAGAAGAAGACATAAGATGAATAAGAAAAGAAAAGAAAAGAAAAGAAAATTGAATCAAACAACAAGAGCAGTAAGTTCTGATTGCTTCACTTCTGGAATCCTGGTTTACCCAGGCACTTCACTGCCACCATCATCCAATTGTCAAATGCCAACCCATTGTAGAGATTGCAGTCTCAACATGTCTGGAAGTGACTAGGTTGGAGAAGAGTGGTTTATATACTCGGTACCATATATGCAGTCCTACCTATTTCCCCTCAAAATAACATTTTTTATTATACTCTTTCCTTAAAAAATGCCTGGCCCTTCCAAAGGGCAAACACTCATAGCATCGCCACAGCTAAGGAAAGCATATTAGGTTTTTCAACCACACAGGTTTGGACTTCTTTCATTGTAACATTGTCTCCTTTGTAATGCAATACTGCTCTCAATCATCCTCATTCCCAGAGGCAGCCCAGGATCATTTAAATACAATTTCTGAGTGTGCTGTGAATATTCTGTTGCTATTTTCCTAACATTTTCCTGGATATGTGCAATTCTTCAACTTCTCACTCTAGTTTAGAGCTCCAATTTTCCCTGGAGTACTTCTGCCCAAGCAGTTACTCTGCTGAGCCTCTATGCCCACACAAAGTCAGCCAGATGGTATCACCTACTGAGACAGAATTAGTGAGAAGGAATTTATCAAGTCACATTAACATGTTAGTGTTAATAGATTTATTCAACCACATAGTTAAATGATAAATAGGATTAAAAAACTGAGCTATAAGTTTAACAGAACTGAAGACCTACCGTAGGAGGATCTACCAACATTGAAATGAGATTCAGATTTTCAGTAAAAGGGATTTTTCGTACTCTCATCTCCGTCTCCCATAAGTCTTTAAGCAAAAGGTTCCTGAATATCTGATTAAAAGGGCCACAATAGGAAAGGAAGCCTGTGCAAAGTAACACATCTCCCACAAGCCTAGGAAAAATAATGGAATCTTTCATTAAGATACAATTTTTTATCCTTTTAAAAAAGGAATGTGGCAAAGACATTTTAAAAAGCTCATTCAGAAAAAAACCCACACTTATACAGGTAGATGGCATGATTGAAAGGAAGAACAAAATCAGTTTGATACCAATTTTACTTCTCAGGTTTAAAATGGGAAGTTTATAGCTCTTTCAAAATGTGCATGATTGACTGCTGAAGTGAACGAGGTTCCTACTTGCACTAACCACTTGGTTCAGTGAGCTGATTAAATGGAACCCAGAACAGTGAAGCAGCAGCACCATTTCTGGCATAACCTTGGATATCAATAGCTCTGATTTAAACTAGGGAGAGATGTAAAAACCAGAGGAATGGAGGCAAATTTGCAGGCCCTAATTTTGGCTCACATATCTAGATCTCCATCATAAGAAGGGAGTGAGTTACACACACTCAAAGTTACACTGTTATCTATCAAGCAGTTTATCTGAAATTTATCTATTTCCAATTATTTTGAAAGACAAACACAAGGATGAAATAACAAAAAAGACAGAGTTATAGCTGTATATAGATTGAAGAGAGACATTCATCTCCATTTTCCTATGACTGCTTTATATTATTTTAAAATGAATACTATTACTGTCATATACTATACCTATTTATCTGGGCTCGGAACTCTTTACTTTGTTGAGTCCACCGGATTTTTTCTCCACTCAAGCCATCAATAAGGGCAGAGGCAGCCTGCATCTTTCTTCTGCACATTTCAGCATCATTCAAGAGGTCCTGAAATTTGAAAATATGTTGCATTACACTTTTCAAGTGCTTATTCTGAGAACTATGCTAGTTTAAAACATTTTTTAAAGCATGCATCTTGAAAATAAGCATATGTCAACTCCAACATTTATGGCACAGATTCCAGTTGTAAATTTTGAGATGAAGATAAAAAACTGCCACTTTTTACTAGGCATAATTGATTCAGAGCGTGCATAGCTTAGACACTTCAGTGAATCACGGAACTTCACTAACCAAGGAATCAAAAGATTTGCTTATTCACAGAATTTTATTCACACTATTTACACACTGCTTCCTCCCAAGGACTCTTGGCTGCCAGAGCAGCTAATCACAAAATATCCACTTACTGGAAGGCAAACTGATGTAGGTGTTACTTGCTAAATCTTTGAGCCTGCCTCGATAGTAGTATTACTGTTTTGTTTCTTTTTTTCCCCCAGACAGGTAGGCACACTTCCAAATAAAATACTGATCTACAGCCACCTGCCATTTTTACTTCCCAAAATGCCTATAGGAATTACATGAGGCCTAGAAGCATTCTTGGGAGTCAAGATAAAACTAGATATGTGCTTTATTTTGCAACATTCCAAATTCTCTCATTTTGTTTTGTTTTTTTCCTTTGTAACATGCCAACCTCTGATTAAAAGAATTGAAAAGAGAATTTAAATCAGGTGGGGCAGAGATTTGAAAGCACCAAGATCAACAGGCAGATGTTCAACAGCCTCCCCTAAAGATTTGTGTTTAAAGTGCTAACGAGAGTTGCAATGAAATTTCAGTACCATACTCATCTTAGAAGCTTGATGATATGGATGTGGAATTGCAAAAGTAGGCAGTGCCAATGTCTACTCCCTGGTTTCCCTCCCTGCCTCAAAACTGAGGAAGCAGGGGCAATGACTAGTTAAGCAATCACTGTCACAAAATTGTCTCACTGAGCAAGCATTTCCCCTAAACATAGAATGTAAAACTGCATACAGTTAAGTAATAGCAAAATATACTGAATGTGTAATTTGGAAAGTTTATCTTGTTTACCATCTTCTCCTGCATAGCTGCATCAAACTTGGCTTGTACTTTGTCCAGTTCTGCTTGCTTCTCATCAAGCAATGCCTGTGCCTTTCCTAATTCTGCATTGGCTACTTTCAAGCGTCCTTCTTGTTTTGCTAAGTTAGCCTAAAAATGAAAAATGAAGCAGTATGTTTACTAAAAAATATGTTTATCTCTTAAGTCAGTTGGACTTAGAAGAAGCAGGATAGGAAGAGTATTGACACATTTGAACTTTGGTGTTGGAGAAGATTCCTGAGAATATCATGGACAGCCAAGAAATTTTTTAAAAAATGGATCATTAAACAAATTAACCCAGAGTTCTCACTCAAGGTACAAATGACCAGGCTCAAATTATCTTCCTTTGGACACATGTGAAGACCTGGTTGTCTGAAAAAGGCTCTAATACTGGGAAAAGTGGAAGGAAAGAGAAGAAGAGGATGACCAGCAGCAGGGTGGATGGACTCAGTTACAGTAGTGATGGGTGCACTGTTGGAAGACTTGAGAGACCAGGTTAGGTAGGGATAGATTATCATGGAGAAAATCTATCTATGGGGTCACTAGGAGTTGAAAACAACTTGATGGCACATAACCAATCAATCAACTAATCAATCATTACATATATGTTTTTCCTATCTTTTTCTTTAAAAGGGGGGATGGAACACAAACTGGTATTTAACTAAGTAATTTAATAGGGAGTTAATTAATAAGTACTATTCAAATAACAGTTCAGTCTCAGAAAACCCTCCTTTGATTCTTGTCTTCCATGTAAAAAAAAACTAAGGTGACAATTTCATGATGAAACCGGAGATCCATGAATCACCTGGCAACTAGCTATATCTGCTAGTTTTACAGCCTAGAATATCCCTTCAGCGTGGCATATGTAGGTGCAAATTCACTTTGTATCAAGGTGCTGGTTGTCATCTACAAAGCACTGCATGGCATATGGTCTGGATATTTGTGGAACTACCTGTTTCTAATTGTCTCTATTTGCCCAAGAACATCCAAGAGGATTAGCATGCTTGAGTCCTGCTTATTAAACAATGTCATCCTATAGGATTCAGAAAGCATGCCTTTTCTGTCTGCTCCTGCCCTTTGGAACAGTAGTCTTCCTGAGGCCTGCATGGCCCAACACTGCTGTCCTTCAAGAAAGCCTCAAGGACTTGACTCTTTCTGCAGGCACTGGGCCAGAATATTGTATGAATCCACCACTGAGCTTGAGATTTACTGTTTTTAATTGAAGAGGGTTTTATATTGTTTGTTTTAACTGTAGTAAGCCACCCAGCTTGTGGACAGCCAGAGGGAGGGAGGGAGGGAGGG